GAGGTTGTACCTTTGCAGCAGTCCTCTTCATCAGAAGATTTATCAAAGAAATTGGGCATGACTCGTGCAATTTTTAGAAGTAAAATAATGGAACAGCAGAAGGTTTTTCGTCATCTTCTAAGTAACAGATAATAGAAGGAGAAGTTGGAATATCAGCCGGCTTGTTATAAGGAGTTTTGTTAAATTTTTGTTATTTATGATTTTTGCCTGGGAGAAGACTTGATAGGCTTTAACCTAGGGATTTAATATCTGAGAGTATCTACTATGATTTCTGTTCGAGAGAATAGTTGATAGGTTTTAATCTGGTGATTTAATATTTGAGAGTACTTATGATATATTAAAAGTGGATAAGAATGTTATAAGGTTTTGATTTGGGAGAAAAGGGTATTACATTCATCTGGGTCTGGGAGGGGAAGAGTTAAGAGCTAAGTTTATATTGTTTAAAAGAAATACACATCTCGGTGTGAAGAAGGTGGATAAATTATATGAAGAACAAATATGGGATTTAATGAGTAAATTATGATTAGAGTAGATATGATTAAAAGTATTGTTTGGATGATGAATAAATTCCGTTTTACTTATTGTGATTTAGTTTCTATTAGTTAAAGTTAAAATAAATATGGGATTTAATGGGTAAACTTTGATTAGAGTAGAGATGATTAAAAGTATTGTTTTGATTATGAACAATTTTTGTTTTAAATTTGGCATTATTTGATTTTGATAATTGATTTTCTTTAATTTGTTTAAATTTGTTTTGTATTTGAGTTGAAGTAATGTATTGATTTTTTTATTTGTATAGTTGGATAGGTTTAGTTAGATTTTTAAATTTGGCATTATTTGATTTTGATAGTTAATTTTCTTTAATTTGTTTAAATTTGTTTTGTATTTGAGTTAAAGTAACTTATTGATTTTCTTATTTGTATAGTTGGATAGGTTTAGTTAGATTTAGTTTGCATTAGTTAAAGTTAAGTAGATTTTGTTTAATATGTTTGAAAACCCTGTGCCAAGCTCTGGGAAGTGGGGGGGGGAGGTTGGGGTGGGTGGGTTTTTTGGGACTGGGAGGGAGGGGGGTTGGGGTGGGGGGATAGGTAGGTTAGATGATAGGATTAAAGTAAGATAATAAGGGATAACTTATGAGAGAGATGTTGCTTGGGCATTTCCCCGGTACTGTATCCGAAGAGGGATGAGAGAGGAGGAGAAAGGCTAGGGAGGGAGTAGGATGGTGAGAGGAGAGGGGGAAGGGAGAGAGAGGTGAGGGGAGGGAGAAGGAGGAGGGAAGTAAGGGAGAGTACAAGAGAGGGTGGATGCAGTTTTGGGGGGGGGTGGGCAGGAAACATCTAGGTGTATTTACTTTATCTTGTTAAATGTGAAATTTCTTCTTTTTTTGTTTATGTAATTGATAATTGGAAAATAAAAACTTTTTTGAAAAAAAGATGAAAACATTACAAGATGCTAAGGAAAATTGAAGTTTTGGGTTGCCGGAATGGACGTTGTGTTATCAAGCATCTGTGTTAACATGGGTGAAAGAGTGGATAACACTCAGAAATAAAAGTTTATTGTATTTAGAAGGACATGATTTACAATTTGGGTGGCACGCTTTCTTATGGTACGGGAAAAACAGAATCCATAAGTACTTTCAAAATCATTTTATAAGAAATGCCTTGTAAACAGTATGGGAAAAAATTAAAGCTAAAATATATTCAAAAATTCCAGGGTGGTTATCAACGATGGAGGCCTTTTATACATCCGAATCTGGTAGACTTTGAAAAAATATGGACATATAAAGATATTTTAGATATTGATGGGAAATTAAAATCTAAACAAGAATTGGAAAATCAGGGAATTAACCTGTCCTGGTGGGCACATTTACAGATACAAAGTAGATATGAAAAAGATGTTAAGATGTATGGATTTTACAAGGATCAAACTGTGTTTGATAAGATTTTGTTAACTTCAGATGAGAAATTAATTAAGAAAATGTATAACTTTTTGTTAATTTTAGATATGGAAAGTGAACAAGTGAAAGAAACAATGATAAAATGGGCAAAAAATGTGGTTATAATATAGAATTAGAAAAATGGCAAATGTTATGGGAGAGAAACTATAAATTAATAATGTCAACTTCATATACCTTCCACCAGCAAGATTAGCAAAAATGTTTAAAAATATATCAGATAGATGTTGGAAATGTAAGCATAACATAGGTACGTATTACCACATTTGGTGGACATGTGGTAAGACAAAGGCCTATTGGAAAAATATACATTCATGGTTAGAAAAAATATTGGGCGAACAAATGGATTTTAAACCTGAACTTTTTTTACTAGGCATTATGCCTGAAAAGACTAATAAGCAGAAACTATATTTAATTTTACACATCACTACAGCAGCGAGAATAATTTGTGCACAATACTGGAAGAATGAAGGACTGCCATCAGAGGAAGAAATAATTAGGAAAATATTGGAATGTGCAGAGATGGACAGATTAACTATGAGGTTGAAAGATAAAGAAGATACAGACTACTATCAAATTTGGAATTTATTTTATTCTTGGTTAGAGAAGAGAATGAAGGATTAGGAATTGAACATGTATTAGCATAGCAAACTCCAGACAACTTGTTGATTGGAAAAATTAACATATGTTGATGAAAAAAGAAATAATAAAAATTTTTATTAAAAAAACAAAAACAAAAACAAAGACCAGTTAGATTGGATTGGATTAGATTAGATTAAATTATCTTTATTGTCATTTTCTACTGTGGGCACACATTAAAAATGAAATTTAGTTGTTTGTTCTCAAGTGTACACATACATAATACACATTTAAACATAATTCTGTTTTAACTGTGAGCTTTATTTTAAAAAGACCATGCATGTCATTCCATAACTTTTGCTTTTTAACCTGAACATAAATCCACTCCTGGACAATATAAAACAATTAGAACATCACCCCCAAAACTCATAAGCAGACATACAAATTGCTTGCATTCAGAGGAGACAGTACTTTTATCACAAACATTAATTGGACTTGAACCAGGTATAAATGCTCTGGTCAATTACTGCTCTGATGAAGCTCTTGAAATCAACTATGGTAAAACTAAGCTCCTGATCTTTGCAAAGAGATCTAAATGGTATGCCTGGAAAATAAATGGCCAGAATATTGAACAAAGGAAATATTTTAAATATTTGGACATGGTTTTCCATAGTTCCATCAAACACAGTGCACACCAAAAGTACACCATACAAAATGCTTAAAAAACAGTGGCTGCAGTTCAGTTTTTTCACTTCATCAAAGGAGCACAGCATATTCCAGCAGCATTCAAGCTATGTTCAGCTAAGGCTCATGCACAACTATTTTTTGGTGCCCACGTAAGATTTTACACTTTCTGTATTCTTCTTGAAAAGGGTCCAATCTAAATTCCTAAAAGCTATATTTCAAGTTGTTGTTGTTGTTGTTAGTGCATAATTATGTTTTAGTATTCAATATTACAATGCTATTGCAGAGTAGTAGGTTGGCTTGCCAAGGAAGCAGCCCTGTTATAGGAAATGGCAAAGTGTGCCATGGAGGGAGGGGGAAGCTGGCTATGCACCAGAAAGAAAGATAAGCAGCTCTTCCTGCAGCATCACCCAAGCCCCCTCCCTTCCCAGAGCTACTTTGCAAATGGGCACTGCAAATGGGAAGGTTCAGAGCCATCAGGAATCTGGCTGTCTGAACAGAGCACCAGCTTGTTTCCCCACTGAAGTGATACTTATCCATCTACTCATATAGAACATGTTTTCTAACTGTTAGGTGAACAGAAGCTGAGGCAAGTGACAGGAACTCACCTGCCATGCAGTGCTAGGGCTTGAATCGCCAAATCTGAGACCATCTCCAACATTATTAAGCCACTGAGCCACCTTATCTCTTACATTATAGTTACAGCTTTGCATTCCACATGTAGTACAAGGGAGGGAGGAAGAACTACAGCAGAGGTGTCAAACTGCTGGCCTGCGGGCTGGATGCCTCATGCTGAAACTGCGCCTGCCCCATTGCTGGAAAAAAGTTGTGATACATCACAACACATCATGTGACATTGCAAATTTGACAACCCTGAGCTACAGCGTCTCAGGTTAATGCAGATTCAGGGATCTCTATCACAGCACTTTAGTTCAAGTTACTGTCCTTTTAAACAAGTCTGAATTTTTCCTTATTGAGGACAATTACAAATCAATATGGTTCAGGACCATCTCATAAAAGCTTCAACAACTTGGCTTTTCCAGGGAGGCATTCCTAAGGATGGGTTATGAGTATGCACTCAGCCCATCTTAATTACTTATCAAAGACTTGGAAAACCTGACAGGACCAAGCTGCTCTAACTAAGAATTTTTTTTTTCCTGAGTAGTCAAGTTCCTTTTTACAAAGCAGCACATAGTTATACCACATAACTGTGGTGGTATAAATAATTTCCCCAAGAGCAGATAAAGGGCTATTGAAACTAAAGCTCATGTCCTGTTATATTGTATCACTCAAGGACCCATCTCATAGCTTCTTACCTGGCAAAGCACCCAGGACATTCTGGTTTATTTAAATACAATTATGCTCCCTTGTAAAAATAGATAGACTTTGATTGAAGAACCTATCACCTACTGCAATATTTACTCTGTTTATTACTTTATTTTTATTTATGTTTTTGTTTGCAATTCTGGTCTGTGGCATATATAATTTATATAATCAGAATCTTCAAAGCTTACTAAGGCAGTTCTCCAGCATAGTTAAGATGGAGTTTGTCTGAATATCTTTTTAAAATTCCCTCATCCCCTGGGCTAAGAAATCTTTTCTGTAACAGTCCCACTTCTTATTGTTCCCTGGTTTAAACACTCCAACATACTTGTGTAGAATATGAGGGTTTGTGCATCATGTAAGCTGTCATAATAAGTAATTAAATACATACATAGATACATAGACACATAGACATATACATGCATACATGCATACCACATAAGGAATACATAAACTTTGCTTAATTGTTTTTTCTTAACTGCTGCCTATTGTTTAACTGAGGTCTCAACAGAATAATGTAGCATTTGGGGAAAAAGATACAAGACAGCAATCCACCACTGGATGCTAGGATGGAGAAGATCTCCACAGCTACCATGTACTTCCCTTTTGTGCTCAGATAAGTAGGGACAAAGGTCAACCAAACACTACAAAACATCAGCATGCTGAAGGTGATAAACTTGGCTTCATTGAAAGCATCTGGCAACTTCCTGGCAAAAAATGCCACCATAAAACTAATGATGGCTAGAAATCCCAAATAGCCCAAGACAAGATAGAACATGACAGCAGATCCTACATTACATTCTGCTATGATTTCACTGGTGAGAGAGTTCATATCCAAATTTGGGAAGGGAGGAGAGGTTGTCATCCACCAAGAACAAATACTTGCTTGAACAAGAGTGCAGGAAATAACAATGGAACTAGCCAGTTTTCTCCCTAACCATTTCCTCATATTGGACCCTGGTTTGGTGGCCATGAATGCTACAACTACAGTGATGGTTTTAGCCAATACACAGGAAATAGCCACAGCAAAAATGATGCCAAAAGCAGTTTGGCAAAGAAAGCAAGTGGTCTTGTTGGGCTGCTCAAAAAATAGTAAAGGCGAAAAAAAGCAAAGGAGAAGGGAGAGAAGGAGTGTAAATGTAAGTTCCCGGTTGTTGGCTTTGACGATGGGAGTATCTTGGTGCTTAACAAAAGTTCCAAGGACAAATGCTGTAGTTATAAATAGGCTAATACCAACTAAGACTAAACTCATCCCTAATGGTTCTTTATGAGACAGAAAGTTTAAAGTCTTGAAAATACATCGATCTTGCTTCTTGCTTGGGTATTGATCTTCTGGACACGGGGAACAGTCAGCCATATCTGGACATTGGAAAAAAAATTAAAAAATTGACCATGTGTTGCCCAAGGGAGATTTCCATGTTCTATTCAACCTAATGCCTCCCTGTTGAACATTGCTGTGTTATCCTATGTCGTATTGTTGTATGCTGTTGATATTTAACCAAATCCTTAGAAAGTATAGGCTTAAAACTTATTTGGTGCCCTTAGAGTTTATAGAGTACACTCTTCCTTTGAAAAGAAGGTTTGAGGAGGTCTTTGTTGCTCTCTGAGCATGGCTGGTTTCCTGCAGACATTTCATTACTCAAACTGGGATGATACCTATTCAAAAGAAGGTTTGTCCAAAGAAGTGAAAATGGCTATGGGGCGAGTGTATGTTTTTGTCTACTTTGTTCCATGGAAATGAGACTTGGTCATGTCAGAAGAAACATACAAGGAAGTAGCATCCAATGGGAATAGGTTAGTTCCAATGAGAAGAATGTCTATGGAGATTCTCAGTCATCCAGGTCATAGTAATCCCAAAGATGCTTTTTCAAAAGGCAATCGAACATTGTTTTTCCTCAAAGTCATTTCACTTCTCATCCAAGAAGCTTCTTCAGAACCTTTTGAAAAAAGGTTGTACCTTTAGGACAACTGTGACCTGGATGACTGAGAATCTTCATAGACATACACAAAGTATATTCCTTCTGTTAATTTCTCACCAATAACCGCACTGAAAATCATTTTACTAGGAATCCATTTCTTGTCTCAAAGTTTCTTGGCTGACTAACACAAAAAACACATTTCACACATGTTCACTTGCATTAATGCAGGTTGTTAATATTTATTGTACTGCATTACCTATTTCAGGTGAAATCTTCCCTTCAGGGCAGGGAGCACAATCATAGCAGCAGAATTTCTCTCCTTCCTTCTTTTTCTTTTGGTATCCAGGCTGGCAAGGATCACTACATAGAGAAAAGGGCAGAACCTGTCCATAAATGTGAAAATAATTTAGGATAGAAAAACTGGTTTTCTTCATAATATTTCAAAAATCATAATATTGCTTAGTAAAAAGTCAGAAGGAGTCCAGTAGCATTCTTTTTAACTTACAAATTTTATTAAAAGCCATAAACTTTCATTAGTCACAGCTCACTTCATCAGATGCATAGAATGGCTAAAGTGATATTGGGGTGAGGCAGGGAGAAGGGAAAATAGATCAGTTAGGCAGATGCAGGTTCCATATGTGCCAGATTAGCAGTATTTTTTCAATTAATCAAGGCTTTTTTTTGTCATAGAACACACCGGAATGGAGTTCTGGCACCTTTTTTCAATGGATTTTCCAGAGTTGCCCTGAACAAAATCCTAGTCTTTTAGGTTTTTTTTTTCCAACTACAAGATAAACCTTGTAGGGTAGGCAAGGTGGGTTGTATGACGTGTATGAGTTCTGCTACCTTTTTTTTTTAACAAAAAGAGCACTGCAATTAATCATTGTGATATATTAAAGACCCCTTGTGTTTGTTGAGAGATTCTCAGTGATAGATGATATAAGAATCTTCAGAAATGTCTGATCCATCAAATTTTTTTTTCAGATGATGGCATGACCAATTAAAATTGAGAAACCGTACCTGGTTGAAATGCCTGTGCCAACTCTTTTTATCTTGATAAAAGCTGAAGGTCTGCTTTTCTTTGGAATCTATCCTCCCAACTTTTATTTTAGTGAAGGAGTTATTTGGGAATATTACCATCTTCATTATATCAAGGCCATTGGCCACCTCCATTCTCTCATTAAAAGTCACACTTTCTCCAGCTGAGTTGTTAAAGGAAATGCCTTGAAGAAACCAGTGAAGCTGTCAGGAAAAGAAAGAATAGCTGAAACATCACATGTAATATGTAATGTGAAAATTGACACAAACTACAGTTCTTCTTGTTGATCAATTACTACCTATTTTATCTCAACCCTATTTCACTTACTAAAAAGTTCCTGATAATAAATTATGTAGAAATTACCTGCCATGGTTGAAGATCTTGATATGCATATCTTTTCCTTTTCACCAGTGCTTGGTAGCGGGACCTAAATGAAGTCATTGCATGTAAAGCATGTGCCAAAAGGTATACAGCATTAAAGATGCTGTAGCTGTGGCCACTCATCTGCATTTCAAAAACAGAACCTGGAAGTGTTTCCAACTTCTCTTCACCAGTGCATGCTTTATTGTGCTCCACTGATCCTTTGGAATTTGAAAATGTGCAATGGAAAGCTTGCTCCCAAAAATCCTTTAAAAAATGGTCATCATGTGCTGAGCAGCATTTTAGGTTCTGAAGGTATGTCTGAAACCCTAATGGTTCATTTGAAGGTACTTCAAAGGAAATGGTGCCTTGGAATATTTCTGAATCCCAGCTTGTTACAAGGCCCATGACTGTGAAATCAATCTGTGCAGTTACAATCCACAACTTTCCAACGGATGTGTTTTCTGAATAAGAAGAATCTATCTGAAACATTAATGTACTCAGCCACATCACTGTAAGAGTTTCTCCATACATAACAAATATTTTGGCATTGTTGTCCATGAAAGATTTATAAATGCTTGATGATATCTTATCAATTTCAGAGAAAGAAAGCAAACGACCTTGGCCTGGGATTCTTTGTATAAAGGCAGAACAGATTCCATTCTGGAAAAACAAAAGTTCCAAGATCTTCAAGAAATGATCTCCACTCTCATCTCTCAAAACAATGAGTCCAATCCAGGTCCACCCAAAATGCTTCAGTAACTGGACAATTCCTGTATACTGATGGGCTTCATTTGAGACCATGCGATAAAAGGAAGGGAATCGGGTTGGGTTGTTTTGTTCAGAAGCAAAAGAACCATATGTGAGCTAAAAAAAATGCACATATATTTACTGTAAGAAACATCTCTCGGTCTTTGTGATTGCCTTTTTAGATCATGGGGACTTGGATCATGGTTTGAATGTCCATTGTTCATTTAAAGTAAACAATACTGGTCTATGAAAAACTGAAACAATTTCTACAAAAAGAATAACAATAAAGAAATCTGTTCAAATCCATATTTCTCTTTTCTTTTTGTCAAAATCCTTTAAACCACAACAACTTTGCTTCATTTTGAATAGAGTCAAACATTTGTTGCCAGTCAAATCTTTCTTCCTTTTTTCTAAACTATAATATTGAATTAAATGGATTTCTACTCTATCTTAATTCATAATCATATTAATATACCCTTCATAGTGACATGAGAGTCAGTTAAGGCATCAGATTACAAACCAGGAGACAGTGAGTTCTAGTCCTTCATTTGACATGAAGTCAGCTGGTTGACCTTGGACCAGTCACTCTTTCTCAACTCTAGGAAGGTTATCAATGTCAAACCCCTTCTGAAATCTTGGCAAGAAAAATGTAGGGACTTGCCCAGATAGTCACCAAGAGTCAATATACAGACTAGAAGGGGGAAAAATGCATTTGAAAATCTTACCTGTGGAATTTTATAAAGGGTTAAGATGTCAGACATGTGGAAGGAGATATCAGAGCCAAGTCCACCAATGATGGCCATGAGATTTTTCTGAATGTTGCATGCATAGTTGGGAACAAAACTATGGAATTTGAAGAGTAGGTCCAATGTGGTCTGATAAGTCATTTTCTCATTGTAGTAACTATCATAGATGTGAAATCCGAGGGTAACATTGGGCAAGATCTGAGGATTTTGGTTAATCTCATTTACTGCAAATGCCAAGCCCAAGACATGTTGGTAGAATTTTGTCACTATGCTGAAAGACAGTTATGTTCAGATTGTACAACCCATAAACTGTTTTGTTTTTTATCAGCCTCTGGATCCATTTTACTTACTACAAGCAATCTAAAATTAAAAAAAAATCAACAGAAACAAAATGATTTGTTAACAAAATGGTTAGGTTTTGTGGAGACAACCTGCAAAATACTCAGGAGAGGAGGAATAGCCAAAGAGAAGTATAAGACTAGAAAGAATAGTAGGAACTTAGGTGAATTTCTGAAAGATTACTTAGCTTTGGAATCAATGCAGAGAATATAAATGATAGGGATGCCAGTATTATTTTAAAGAAGTGCTTTGGGAACTTTCTTTTTATTCCAAAAAACTAAAATACGAGCTCCATAAAAGAAAAGAAAAAATATACACATAAAACTTAGAAACAAGATTGGATAAGCCAAGCACATCTCCTAGTGAAGCTTTAAAGCAGCCATGAGCTGTTCTTACAGCTGTTTCAAAGACATCTCTTTTGCATGGGACTTCTGACCTGTTCTTATAGATACCCTTGTGACAGCTTCTGCAAATGCTATTATGAAGGTATAATGTTTGGCTTTGGTAGCTCAATACTTTGCTTCAAATTAAAGAGCCCCTTGATGGCTTAATGAACTTCTGAGCAAAAAAAGTGTGCTGATGTTCTTACATGAGTTGCACAAGGACCATAAATCTGAGTTTTTGAATTACAAATCCATAGGTTCCCAAGTCCACCCAGAAGACTGAAAAAGAAGGAACTGCTTACATTGGCAGATCAAAGCTCAGTTCCTCGGAAGGCTGTTTGCAGAAAGAAGGTTTTGGAAAAAGTATCGTGATAAAAGAAACAATCCCACCTAGGGTGAAGTTTCCAGGCTGATACCATTCATGAGGAACAGGGACAGGATCAACAGAAAAACATTTGGTAAAGCCATCTTTACCCATGACAGGAGGCAATAAAAGTAGTAACACCATAAGGAACACTAACTGAAAGCAAAACTTATCTCTAGAAAGAGACATTACTGAGCCTAATCTCACTCTTGGTGCAAATGTAGATAGATCATTTGGTCTTAATCTTTCTACTTTAGAAAAAAAATATACCCTAGTATGTGACTAATGCTGAAAAAACAGATCCTGAATTCTGATCAAGATACAGTGACTTTGAAGCCAATGTTGGAGATTGTTGGTAGAGCCCTGCCCACCTCTTACTCTTAATAGCAGCTCTCAGTAGGAAAAGAGGGCCACCTTATAAACATATCAAGACTTGTTTATAAGCTGTATTTGGGAAAGATGTCAGAGGCATTAGCAAAGACACTATTGAACGTGAAGCTTTAAAGCAGCCATGAGCTGCTCTTACAGCTGTTTCAAAGACACCTGTTTTGCATGGGACTTCCAATGCAAAGTATAGTAGATAAGCATCCAGACATACATACAGAAAGCTAGGGAGTTGATCTTTGTTTTCACCACTTTGACACATCACTTTATATACACTGAGATGGATTGATCATAGTGATAGAACTCAGGATGACTCAAAAACAGATCGAAGGAAACATTTATGAATCAAAAGGAAAGGGCAAAGCTGGGGAAATTCTATTTGGAACAATTGGATGAGATCTTCAAAAAGAGGGACTCTTAATATGTAACACATATAATGGGTTTTTAACATATTGTAACATACTGCTTTGGGCCACTGGAGGCTAAAACATATGAAGAATGGTTGCTGGAATTGGGAATGTCTAGCTCAGTGGTTCTCAACTTGTTGGTCGGGACCCCATTTGGGGTCGAACGACCATTTCACGGGGGTCGCCAAACAATGCAGTCCGCCATTTCCCCCCCCTTTTCCTTAGCTGTGCTACTCCCTTTTATTCTATTGGCTTTTGAAAGCCAATAGAATAGACTCTCTTGAATAGAGTCTAATTCTATTGGCTTTCAAAAGCCAATAGGAATTGTCCAGGCTGTCTCTGCCCTGGTGAGCCCACCAAAAGTCCCATTCTGCAAACGGTGCTGCACCAGTTGAGTCGTCCTCGACTTACGACCGGTTGAGTAGTTCCCGACTTACGACCGGTTGGGGGTCGCATCATTAAAAAGGTTGAGAACCACTGATCTAGCTTAATGAAAAGAAGGACTAGGGGTTACATGATAGCAGTTTTCTAACATTGCGGGGGTTGCCACAAAAAAAGAGGGCGTCAACCTATTCTCCAAAGCACCAGAAGGCAGAACAAGAAGCAATGGATGGAATGTAATCAAGGAGAGAAGCAACCTAGAACTAAGAAAAAAATTCCTGATAGTTAGAACAATTAATCAGTGGAACAACTTGCCTCCAGAAGCTGTCAATGCTCCAACACTAGAAATTTTTAAGAAGAGATTGGACAACCATTTGTCTGAAATGGTATATGGTTTCCTGCCTGACCAAGGGGTTGGATTGGAAGACATCCAAGGACCCTTCCAACTCTGTTATTCTATTCTATTCTATTCTATTCTATTCTATTCTATTCTATTCTGTTCTGTTCTGTTCTGTTCTGTTCTGTTCTGTTCTGTTCTGTTCTGTTCTGTTGTTAACTGATAGGGTGAAAGTCTGTTTGGTACGGTGATTAAGGAATCAGGCTAGAAACCAGCAGTGCAAACATTTCAGCTCTGCCTGGAGCATGAAGCCCAGTTACTGTCCCTCAATCATAGGAAGAAGAAGGTAAGGACAAACCACTTTAGAAAATGCTGCCAAGAAAATTGAATGGACCAGTACAGGCAGTAGCCATTGACATTGCAAAAAAGGTTGAGACTCTGGAAACAGTCCAGAGAAGAGCAACTAAAATGATTAAAGGCCTGGAGACTAAAACATATGAACAATGGTCGCAGGATTTGGGTTTGGCTAGTCCAGAGAAAAAAAGGACTAGGGGGGACATGATAGCAATATTCCAGTATTTGAGGGGCTGCCACAAAGAGAGAACTTATTTTCCAAAGCACCAGAAGGCAAGTCAAGAAACAATGGATGGAAACCAATCAAGGAGAGGAACAACTTGGAATTATGGAGGAACTTCCTAACAGTGAGAACAATTAGCCAGAGGAACAGCTTGCTTTCAGAAATTTTAGATGCTTAATCACTGAAGGTTTTTAAGAAAAAAACTGGACAGCCACCTATCTGAAATGTTATGGGATCTCCTGCTTGAGCAGGGAGTTGGACTAGAAGGTCCCTTCCAGCTCTATTCTGATTGATTGATTGATTGATTGATTGAATGAATCAATCAATCAATCAAAACTGACTCAATGGTGCAACTCCTTATTATGATAAAGTATCCGTAACTTGCTTTTTATGTAACTTGCATCTGCATAATCACCCTGACTTCCCTTCCTTTCCACAAACAGCTCAATCCAAAGTACTTCCTACATCAATTTACCCAGTTCATTGCATTCATGTCAAAAAAAGAGGCAAGAAGTTTAAAGAATTTATGAATCTATGTAGAGATATAGTAGAAGCAAGAATTTTTTGCAAAGGTAACAAAGATATGCAGAAGTATAGTCAATGATACAAAGCATAAACTAGTATTAAGTAATTTCCCTTTTTTCTATTCATATTTTTAATTTCTTTGGCTTGTTCTTTCTTAATCTTGAGGGGTGCGGGGATATTTTGCACAGCATAGTTTATCTTGAAAGAGTTAACCATAACTTCATTCTTTCCAAATGACAAATATATATGTTTATATATCAGGGTTAAATTATCCGGAAAGAGAAATGGGATTGTCAGATGGATTAAGCTCATTGAATCAATTAAGAACTATCTTGGAAGTAGTTACTCCAATCATAGGTACTCCAGTTATAATGTCTTAGAAGTGTGAATGGAGAGAGTGTTTAGATTAATCCTTTACTCATCTCCCTACTTTCTTTCATTCATCCTTAGAAGTTGCAAGAATAAGCTTTTGAACCATCTCATGCATTCATTCATTTATTCACTCCTACCTATGCTCATTACATTTGCATATCACCAAATCTTGTGATTTACAGAGTTGCCCAACCAATATTTTCTTTCATAGAAAAGAGAATGGAGTTACTCTAAAATCA